TAATATGGGATTTTATACAGATGTGTGAGATTTAGACCAGTAAATAATCTGTAACCAGCAGTATTGCATTTTCTGCTATTGTTTAGTACCGGTAGGTTGATAGATATAAGCTCAATGAAACTGCTTGAATCCCCTTTTCTAATCAAATATGAAGTGGCTTTTTTTTTTGGTGCTTTTAGACATTCATAGTGAGACTGAATAGGCAAGTCATAGGTAAGCAACTTTTTTTAGACGTAGTCAGGGGAGACCACAGACATTTATGTTAGAGACCTTTGTAATAAAGACAGGTCATGTGAATTTGAACATGAACTGATGGGCTAATTAGACACTGTTTTTTTGTAGTTTAACTGGTAATCAGGTCAGCACAAGGTTATTGCAAGAAATGGACTTTGCTGCAATGAATAGTGATTATTCACAGGGCTAATGAAAGCTGTGCTTCCCAAATGAAAGTGGTAACAAGCCGTGAAAGAAGAGAAGTACTTCTAATTAAAAATGAATATCAAATGCAGAATACTAAGAGAAAACAAATTGTAGGGCACCAGGTTTGTTTTCAAAAAACTCCAAAAGTGAATATAAATACCGCCCAAATGACTAGCACAGCAGGTGTCGCTATGTGTACCATTGTCCATATAAACCAGATGCATAATGTGTTCAGTTTGTTGTCTGTTTGAAAGTATATGCACTCCATGCTAATTAGTGTTTAACACTGCACTCATTTCTAACTGAGATAAACAAACTCAATTTTGAGTGACATAACTAGGAAGCAGATGTGATCCTAACAGAGAACATAGGGCTAAAATTGTCAGAAGCTGTTGTTATTTATAATAAGAAAATACATTGGCAAAGGTTGGTAGGATTTTAAAGGAGATATCATAGTTCTCTTTACAGAGAAGTAAACAGTACCACAATAAAATTTATTATTTTTACAGAAACAGTCTCACAGTCGCCATCTTAAGGACTATGCTTGCAACATATTGAGATGTAAGGTTTAACAAACATTAAAAGCACTGACTGGCTCTACCAAAGGGTGTTGATGCCAAAGGGTGTTGAGGCAATGCAGTCAAAAGGTATCAAACTACATTAAATCTACAGTGTAGATGCACCCTAGGTTTCAGGGAGGTTTTCCCATTGCAGCTTTACAGAAAAGAGAACACGGAAGGGCCAAATGCTCCCCTGCAACACTCTCCTGACAAACAACAAGGGGCACAACACCACTCTGGCTAATTTGTGGAGAATACATTTAAAAATAGTGTGAACTTTCCTGTATGTTCATCCCATGAGGATGGCAGTACCTATTAGGTGCAGAATTATCTCTCAGATCCAGGTGTTGTACATAATAATAATAATAATAATAATAATAATAATAATAATAATAAATCTTTACTTGCATACCACTCTACCTCCCCAAGGGGACTCAGGATGGTTTCCAGCATGGTAAGCATTGCACTTACTGCCATAAGAACATACAAAAAACATTATAAATGTATAAACATAGTACTATATAACAATCATACATATTTAAATTAAAATGTTTGCAGCATGCGCTGGAATTACTCTGATTCTTTTGGCTATACTGGATACAGTTCCCTGCCCCCTGGGCCCTTTACATTTCTAGATAATGAGTTCCATTTAGTTTTATAAAAAAAAGGAGATACTAAAAGAGACAGTTTGGTACAGGATAAACCAAATTCTATCAGCCAGGTTCCACTCTCTTATTACCTGTGTTTCAGAATTAGGTCACTCTCAGTTGAATAAAATTTAGCCAGATCTGTTGAGTTTAGTCGGCTTCTCTCTGCAGGTACATTAATCAACATCTTCCATGCCGGCTACATTTCTGGAATATTATAAGAATCGGAGTGTGTGACAGATCTGACTTTTATAATAAATGTTAATTACATTTAAAAAGAAGTTTAAATTTAAAGTTTAACCTATTTTACACACTACTGCATGGTAATATTATCTGACGCTTCCATCATATTGTCTTGGTAACATTGAAAAAATTCAAAATATAATAATGTATTTTAGAAGAGACATTACTTTACATTCCAAAAATCACATCTTCTGTAATGTCTGTACCAAGGTATTTTATTTTTTAAAAAATCCTAAAAGCCTACTAAAGGCTTTCTATTATTATTTTACATTACTATGACAGCAAACATGCTTATTTAAATGTATTCTTAATGTAGTCTACAAAGAAAGAGTTGCATGGAGTGTTTATTATTCATTTTCAGTAAATCATTCTTATATTTTACCTTTCAATTCTAGATTTTAAGTGCTAATATAGGATAGCTATGGACTCAAAGCAATTCTTCAGTAATATAGGGACATTTTTATTTTTTAAATTTTGACTCAGCCATTGCTTTGACAAACTACTTTCTGACCATTCAATATTGATAAATGGCAGAAGGCAATTTAACAGTAGTATAGTGGCCTGTAAGTGCACAGTTATTCATAAAAACTACCTCACAAAAGCCATATGTGGCACCACATGTACTGAGCAATGTTAGCTATTCAACATCATAGCAGTAAAAGCGTTGAGTCTCCGGTGGGAGAAATAAAGCAGTGAATAGTAGTAGTAGTAGTAGTAGTAGTAGTAATAATAATAATAATAATAATAACAACAACAACAACAACAACAACAACAAATGTAGAAGCCCCTGCTGAATAATAACAACAATAGATTAGGGCCCCTGCTGAATAATAACAACAACAACAACAACAACAACAACAACTTTATATTTGTACCCCCACCTCCATCTCCCCGAAGGGACTCGGGGCAGCTCACATGGGAGTCTGATCAAAACAGTTAAAATATGACACATTAAAATATATAACAACAAGGTAAAACAACACATTATAACAGTATAAAACAGGCATCAAAATCAACAACCAATAACAACATTCAGTTCATTGTCACAAGTGTGTGGACTGGTGCAGCAATAACTTAAAGGATAGGGCTAATAGATAAGGTACTTGGGTCATAAGGCAGCAGTAAAAATAGGAGCAATGGTAAAGTGTGAGGACAAGATTTAGGGTCCTAGCTGGACCAGCTATCTAGGGAATTATCTACTCAAAGGCACAGCAGAACAGCCACGTCTTTAACTCTTTCCGGAAAATGGACAGAAAAGGAGCCAGCCTGATCTCCCTCTAAAGCCCTATACACTTTGGGTCCAACCTATCTTCATGACTGCATCTCTTTCTATAAACTGGCGTAGGCTCTGAGATTGACAGGAGAAGCCCTTCTCTCAGTCCCACCACCGTCTCAAGCACGCTTAGCGGGGACAAGAGAAAGGGCCTTCTCTCTTTTCCCCAGCTCTGGAATACCCTCCCAAAAGAGATTAGATTAGCCCCCACCCTTCAATACTTCTGTTCCAACTTGAAAACATGGATGTTTAGACAGGGCTTTGACCTTGAATAGGCTGAATGAGCCCATATGAAGCTGACACTTGGCACCTTGTGAATTGACAACAGTTAGTTTTATCTACTGTTGTTTTAAAATTGTATTATTTTGATTTTATGCTACATGTGATGATGAGGGTTGTTATAATTTTATGTGACTTATTTTATACTTTTGTACGATTTTTACCTGTTGTATGTTACGTGTGCACCCTGGAGTGGCTTGTAAGCCACCCCATATGTTACGGGGATTTGGTGGCAGGATATAAATAAACATGATGATCATGATAATGATGATGATGATGATGATGATGATGATTTTCTCTCACAATCACTTTTTGCCTGAGAATTTTTCATCTTACTTTGGTATACAAGTATGTAAAATAGATATATAAATCAAACATTTACTAATAATAAATCATACAGAAATGTATTTTAAAACAATCCTTTAGTGTGTGTGTGTGTGTGTGTCTATATATAAAATTTTACTATTTATTAAGGATGAAAGCCAATTTGCTTACTAATGAGATGGATATGCTTGTTTGTTTATGTATAAAGAATTAAATCTTGGTTTAATATTTGATACCACAATATGTAGAACAGCCTCAACATTTTTCATGCCATGCTTGGTTTGCAGTCTCATGTGATAGAATATACTCTGTTGGCTCTTCCTTTTGCTCTTGAATTGGGGGATTACAATTTTGTTTTGAGGGTCCATATCTCCAAGGTTGCAGAGCAGGCCATATGCCTGAAATGGACCCACATCCACCTTTTTTGTCCCTATCATGGTCTGTTCACATACCCATTCCTCCCTCCACCCCCCCCCCCAGAAAAAACCAAATGACCAATTCCCTCCTTTCTTTTTGAACTTTGGATAAGAAGTGACTGACATTTCATTTTGATTGCTTATGCTTCATGAACCCAACAGTTTAAAAAAAATAAAAAAATGAAGGGAAATATTTCTGAAACTAAAATGATTCATCAAGCAAAATCAGCTTGCTAAAAAGGCAGACTGAAACCCACCCACCCTACCCCTTCCTTCACTGCCAAAAGGCAGAACAGGAGAAGGAGGGCAAAGAGAATGAGCAGCATCCTAGGCAGTGGAAGTCCACTCCATGCCTCTGGCTCCATCTCTCTCTCTTCCTCCTGCTCTCTTTTTGTCCATGTGAGAAAAAGACTCCAGAGGTAGAGAGGAGGTGGCAGGAATTTGCATATGACCTGAAAGGGGCAACAGGAAAAAATGTGGGGAGGGGAGAGAAAGGGAGAGAGAGACTGAAGGGCTGGAAGAATGCCAGCTGTAACCCCCAAATTCAATTACAGGACTCCCAATGGAATTGTGACACACAGTTTAAGATGCTTTGATCATTCTAGATCATCCATTCATGCCATTCTGTGATGCTCAGTTGGTGAAACTGGCAACCCATCTGCACATGACTACAGTCACTCATACAGTGTCTTGTCTCAGAGTTGCCAAAGATGAAGATGTAATAGTACAGAGAATAACACTCAAATACAAGTGACATCTATTAACTTTGCTTCCATAACTTGCATAGATTCATTGATATGAATTGTTAATGTAATTCAGTAAATATTATTTTTTCCAGATATCCCTTCAGTTAAAATAATACCATCCACGTTGTGGCCAGAAGAAGGACAATCTATAACTTTGATTTGTGAATCCAAAGGAAAACCACTGTAAGTGATTTAACAAGCAATATATTTTTGTTATTTTCTTTATTCTCTTTTGATTGCAGCCTCTGACTGCAAAACTCTACTGTTTTTCTCTTGTCCTGGGGTGTAAAGTGATCTCTAGTACAGAAAACCCTTTGAAGCATGTTTTCATTAAGTGCCTATGGAAGACTGGTCTTTTACTTTGTCATTTATTTTAGTTTGGGAAGGGATTCCTGCTGTGCATTTTTTTAAAAAAAAATGTGCTATTTCAACCTGAAAGAATTGCAGGCTTATTTGCTGTTCCTATCATCATAGTGATGATGGGTACATATTATCAAAGTGAAGCCTCACATCTGATGAAAAAACCTCTAAAATCAACACATTTTTCCAAGTAAAGTGCTGAACTCTCTGTCTACTTTGGTTGTCATTTACATGGTAATTGCAAATTTAATGATATATGCAAATTGTCTTTTCTATCATCCTACTTTTAAAAATAGCAGTAAGAGAATGATGCTGTATATGTTCAGGTTTTACTAGAAATTGTTTCTTAACACAAAGAAGTGAAATCTATCCTAGAATTATGTGTAATTACGCAGATCCTACAATTAGAAGAGTACAAAATATATCCCCTTAAATAAACTTTATTCAATCTAAACCTTTTGATTTACTTTCACTTTAAAAAAGATCCATATATTATCCTTTAGCAAAACCATCTTAAATGATAATTCACAATGAAATGTAAATAATACATGAGCATACTTGCTTGGAACCAAAATCTATATGAATTTGCAAATTCCTTATACATGTTCAGGGTATAAAATACCAGAATATCAATGAGGAAAGAGATTTTAGCTCCAGTGACAACGGGATTCATTGTGGCCTTTGATAATTTTATTCTCTAGAGCAGGAATGGGCTGCTCTAGAGAGTTGGCTGGAAACTGTTGTTTTTACCAAATGCACAAAATAGTACACACAACAATCTCCTAATGGACTCAAGAGGACAGAGCAAATAAGATCAGAGGCTCCCTTGGAGAACTGAAACAAAGAGTCCATCTGCACTGATGGAAATTTTGTTTAAGTCCTTGATTTTGTTCCTAACTGATCAATTTTATTTGACGTTTTGTTAATTTCAGAAAATTTTCTGTTAGTTCTTATATCATCAGAGAGTTTTTAGGCTACCTCCCAGGGTTTGTTTATTTCAAATAAACAAGCATTTCCCAGAATGAAATGTATTCATATGACAGCGTGTTTCTGTAATCCCAAAGCAAGCTAAAATTACTGCTGCCAAGAAATACAGCAATTGTTCCCAGGACAGCAGATTTAACAGAGATCAAGTGAGGAAAAGATGAATGCTAATAATTTAAACAATATATCTCTGAACATATACCTAGCCTCTCATTTGTAAACCATTTTAACACTGGTCCCTTCCACACTGGGCCCATAATGTGGGAGCTCCCATGGTTTTACACTGCATTAGACTCAGGTCTTCCTGAAGGACCCTGGTCTAATGCAGTATGGACCCATAGGGACTGACCCCTCGGCATTCCTAGGACTACTGAGGGTCAGTCCACACAGCCCTCTCGGGTTTTCCAGGCTGAATCAGGCTGAACCCTGAGGGCACCAATCCTTCTCCAACCCCAACCCCCAAAGACTTTAAAAAATAAATAACTTACCTGGCCACAGTTAAACCATTACCAGAGCTCTCCTAGCACATAGAAATGACATGCCAGGAGAGGAGGGGTGAGGAGGAAAATCACTCCTCACTCCCCCCCCCCCTTTTCTGGCACATCATTTCTACATGCCAGGAGAGCTCAGGCAGCAGTTCAATGATAGCTGGGTAGATTGCTTTATTTTTAAAGTCTTTAGGGGGGAATTGGGTGTCTCGTTGCCCTTCCAGAAGGTACTGGGAGGGCATCTAGACACCCCACCATGGAAAGCATGGGCTTTTGGGGCTGGTGTGCAGACTAAAGTCTAGCCCAACCCGGGTGCACTGACTATTACTCCTGAATATTAATTAAAATGTTCTCAGTGGAAATTGGTGAAAGGCAATTTTTGAAATACCTTAGTCTAGATTTGGCATGTGATCTTAGAAGAATAGAGTTGAAGAGACCCATCTAGTCCAACCCCCTGCCATGCAGGAAAAGCACAATCAAAGTATCCTTGACAAATGGGAGGAAATGAAAAATAATACAGGACAGTGAGTGAAACCAGGGATATTTCAAAAAATATTTTGTATGCAAAAATTATGAATATTCAGATAAATTCAAAACAAAAGCACTAGAATGTCTTGATTCTTCTAGGATCTTTTCTTTGTCTGGATAAGCCTTGACACCAAGGAATGGAAGTGGAAAATAAAGAGAAACTGTGGTAAATTGAATTTTGTGGTCCTAAAAAGGCTAGGTGATCATGGATGGAGCATAGGGTGTGTGTGTGTGAAGGAATGTTTCTGGAAAAAATATTTGGTGGAACAAAGATTCTTCTGGAAAGATTATTGGGTGGAACATAGTCCTCATCTACACTGAACATTTCTTCCAGTTTCAAACCGGTATTGAAGAAAGTGGTTTCACTGTGCAGATAATTACATAGGAAATTTTGGACCAGTTTGAGGCCCAAATGCTGATCACAGAAACAACCAAGCATGGATGCACATTAGGGACTTTTAGAGCAGTTCTATTATCTGGGTGGAGGTCACTAGGGAGTGCTAGAGAGAGAAAGATAGTCCATTTTATGGGGCTGGGAGTTGAAGGAGGAAAACCATTTTCCCTGTCTTGCTGGTTATTCTCCTTCCCGTACCATAAATGATTGTTGTTTCCACAACAAGGACATGGCTGGGTGGAATAATAGGAAAACAGGAGTAAATGGTTATCATCCTTCAACCCGCCTCCCCCAATAAAATGGTCCAACCTTCTCTCTCTATCGCCCCCTAGTGGACTACAACCAAATAATGGAATAGTACCAGACTTTCTTTTGTGCCTTTTTTTTTTTTAGAAATTTGATGTCATGCTACCACAGGTAGCTTCAAACAGCATTAAATGTTCTTCGTAGATGAGGCCAAGAACATTGTCCTGCTCCTACTTTGAAATGTGAGCACCAATTGCATGAGAGCAGTCTGGAAGCTATTACTGTCCTTTAGAAATTGGCAAAATATGTGCCCACTCCCTATACTGTGTGTGAGTATGAAGTTAATGGTTGTCAGGTTAAACCTAGGGGGTAACCTAACCGCTCAATTCTGCTTTTCAAACTACATGTATGTATAACAGATTATAGTAGTCAATCCTGGATCTCAGACCTATGCTTAAGTGCAATTTTGGTGTTTTATTTCTATCAGTAACAAGTAAATGAGGGCAAAGTATGGCCATAGAGGACCTTTTTAGTGTGAGAGACATATCTGATTTAGGAAGGCCTAGTACTAATTAAGCATGAAAATTGTGTTGTTAATTTTGTTATGCATATTTGAAATTGTGTCAACTGTAGTCCTAATCAATTAACCTCCACATGGTATCAATTGAGAAATAATGCAGAGTGTATAGATATGGTATAAAGAGATTCTGTCTCAGTCTGTAGAAATACTTTGCCAGGAGCATTTTAAAGTCTCTGTTCTTACACTCTTCTTCCATTGAATCAGGTGCTACAGTTTTTACAGTTTTCTTGTCATTGTACACAGAATCAATTTCTAGATGGGCCTTATGTTTGACAGGTGTCAGACAAGAGTTACATTTTGCTCTGTCGATGTCTCATCACAAGCAGCAATGACTAATAGTTACTTGACAGATCAAATAGGTGGCTTCTCTCTCCCTTTGTCTTTTTAAGGCCCAAATGTGATTACTTGTGTCACTTGTAGAAAGTTTCTCAGAATGGCCTGTCTTCTTAGATTTGGCTGTTAATGTGCTCAGTTTAAATGATCTGAAATATATTTTTGAATCTAATTTTTGGTGACTTTCAGAGAATCTGCTAACATTTCTGATCAAATCACCTGAAACATTGTCCACATACACCAGGAAACATTACCAGTTTAATTAAATTTTACAAGAATAATAGTTGCAAAATTAGAAAACACATATGCCATAATACATATCTAGCAGCATTCATAATTGCAAAATGTAAGTCATTCATGCAAGAAAATGTACTACATCAAATATCTTTAATTGTATGGATAAAGTGTCAATTTTAAATAATGATACTCCCAACAAGTACCATATGTTACTAAATATTTCTTCTAATATGACCACACGTACTTCTGTAATACATCTCCTTGTCTGATATGTCATAAAAAGTGAACAATATATTAAAATATATCTTGTCTTTCTAGTCAATCATAATACATTCTGCAATTCATAATGAATTACATCTTCTAAAATATTTAGTGCCCCAAATACCGAAAAGCAGACAACTCTTCAAATGAATGTAAAAGCTTCACTGTTAACAAGGTTCCCAGCTAATCAGTATGCATACTGTTAAAACTAATTTATATAGGTGTGCAAAACTGTAGCATTTTAAAGTGCACTCCAAATACAAGTTTTTTGTTAGAAGTCATTAAAATGTAGCACATAAGTATCAAGTTTCTGTTCATACTGAAACAATACGTCCCAACTAGACCATCCAAAGAGCCACTTTGAGTCTCATTCGGGAGTGATAAAGCAGGGTATCATCATCACCATCATCACCATCATCACACAACCATCAATGGTTGGGTCTTTAATCCTTTGTAAAAGATGCAAAGTTTGAGCTCAGGCTTAGCTCTTCTGAGACACATTCATGATGTCTTAGCCTGCCTTTAAATATTTTGGCAAGACAAGCAAAATAGTGGACTGGAAGACTTTCAAGGATAGAAGACCAACTTCTGGCATCTCTCTCTTCAAGTGGTTTTCCCATATGACTTGACTGTGTGAAATGTTATTTATTTATTTATTTGGCGCATTTATCTATTCTCTTAGCACTCCAGAGCTCCCAATGTGATATACAACAGATTTTTTAAAAAAGAATATTACATACTTATATCAAACTTTAAAAAAATATAGATTAAA